CTCATCTGTTTTTTCAAATTCCAAGGTCAATACTTTGAGAGTTACATTCCTTTTGTGAGTGTGACCTACATTTAATAGTTCCTCTGGCTGTACTGAAATGAAGCACATTCAAACTAGAACAGTTTTTGAAGTTTAACAATAGCAGGTTGTGCAGCTAACCTGTCCTTGTGCTGCTCCACGAGTAACTGTGACCTGCCAACGTTGTCATGAGTGCCTAGACTTCTCAGCCAGAATAGGTTCCTACTACAGATAGGTGGACATATTAATGAGGAAAAGGTGGTAACTTGAAGCAGTAACATACCACCAAGTTTCTCATACTCTTGATTGTCAGCTACACAGTGGCATTCTTTGATAACTGTCCTTCATAATTCAACTTCAGTCCTAAATGCTTTATACAAAGAAAGCTCCTGGAACCTTGCCAGTTTTGAATGGAGGTGGTTTCAGAAAAACCTATAATGTCCTAATTGCAGATATGTTCTTGCTACTTAATAGTTTTCAGCAGTGCTAGAGTTATACTTGCTTTGGAATGTGGCTTTGAGGCTGGTGGTGGTGAAGTGTGAACAGCTGACATGTTTTGTTGTTGCCTTTGCTAATTTCTCTTTATTTCAAGGCAAGAATTTTGTCTAAGCAAACATGAAGAATGCAGTAGATTGCTTAGTCTAAGAACATGTTTCAGATATGTTGTATGTTCCTTACAGTAGTCAAGACTTTTTTTTAAGCTTTGAAAGATGATTTCGGCTTGCTTAACTTTGTTGCCTTTTATTTATTTTTTTTAATGAACACTTCCTTAGATTTTTTTGAAATTGAGAAGTCCTTACAGAGTAAAGTTTCTAAAGAATCCTGTACATCTTGCATGTGATATGTCATGTATAGTGAATTTTAAAATGTAGTTTTTTGCACCTGTTCACTATCATTAAAGGTTTATGAACCACATGAAACATCACTTGGAGCTCGAGAAGCAGAGCAGTGAAAGTTGGGAAAGCCACACCACCTGCCAGCACTGTTACCGTCAGTTTCCCACCCCATTTCAGCTGCAGTGCCACATTGAAAGTACACACACGCCTTACGAGTCATCTAGTAAGTTGGATTGTATCACATTGAATCTTTGTGTGACCTAAAATTTTTAGATATTTTCTGACTTTTACTTTGCTGATTTGTTACTTCAGAATAAAGCTTTGTACTTTAAGAGCAATAATCTTGAGATTTAATATAGGAGCTGAGCACTCATTCAATTTATGTTAGAGCAATGTGTGTAGGAAAAAAATATTTTTAAAAGCTTTTTGTTTTGTTTTAATTGAAAGCTTGACTGCAATAATTCATGTTGTTTAAGGGCCTAGCACTCCTGGCTTCCTGAAGTTGTACAGGGAGTTTCTTCTGAAGAGTAGAATAATCGTTAGATTGCTTTACCTTTATAGATTTATACAGTTCACATGTACATACATATTATAATTTATCTACTTATGACCCCAAACAAATTTTTACTTTTTTCTTGTTTTTCACTTTTTCTAGCAATTTGTAAAATCTGTGAATTATCCTTTGAAACAGAGCAAGTTCTTTTGCAACATATGAAGGACAATCATAAGCCAGGTGAAATGCCGTATGTTTGCCAGGTATCTCAGAGTGATTGTTTTGTATTTAGATTACACCACCCCCCTGTCTTTACTGTTAATAAACTTTTAACAAGAAAGTCAACCTTTTTGTTTTAGGTATGCAACTACAGATCCTCAGCTTTTTCGGATGTAGAAACACATTTTAGAACAGTTCATGAAAATACAAAACATTTGTTATGCCCATTTTGCCTCAAAGTAATTAAAATTGGAGCACCATATATGCACCATTACATGAGGCATCAGGTAAGCAGATATTTTCAATCCTTAATGCTAAAAAAAAGCTAAATATATGTCATGAATCTTCCTCTGGAAAAAAAGCGTAACTGATTTGTATGGTTGTTACTGGATAAGAATAGTTAATAAAATACGGTAGAAGAATTATGACTGCATCTTTTGAAAAGTCTTTAAGGGAGTCGTTAGAATTTGTTGTGGGTTTGTGTGACTGCAGCTCCCTGATAAAAAAATCTCTGACTATCCTTGAAAGAATATCTTGGCTGTTTGGTTTCTTCATTAAGTTGTAGTGATGTGTTCTGCTTTTCTTGAGTGTCACTAGCAAACCTTTCAGTAGTTCAAGTAGAGAAAAAGATTATGAAGTATTGTCTTCTTAGAACTGGTAACCTGATTCCTCCTCCTCCTAATAATGATACTGCCTTGCATTTTCAAGTATTTAAATATTCTCTCTTTTAATTCCTACACAGTATCTTGGCTTTGTACAATATTAGGAGTTTGTCCGGTTGATGTTTTAGAAACTGGATGACCATTGCTTGAGACAAGCTAGGGTTGGAGTTTTGTTTATCATGACCTTCATGCTTACTATAGATTGTCTTCCATTTTTAAAAGAAAAAAGGAATATACCGTTGCACTAAGTGCAGACTGCAATTTTTGACATGCAAAGAAAAAATGGATCACAAGACTCAGCATCACCGAACATTTAGGAAACCCAAACAGTTAGAAGGATTGCCTCCTGGAACAAAGGTAAGTGTTCATACAGGAAAATTAGACGGGACAAAGGAAAAAAATGTATTGGTAGAGAAAGGGGTGGAATAGAAAGAAGTGCTTTTCTCCTTTCTTTTCTAACACAAAGATTTTTTTTTTTTTTTTTTTTTTGCCACCTCTAACACTAAAACTCTAAAAAACACTCCTGTTGCAAGAATTGCCAGGCACAGTTTATGGTTTCTTCCTGGTGATCTGTGGTGTTGCTCTCTGTCCCATTCTTCCATACATGTGTATGCGAGTAGTCCAGTCAGTGCTGCTGCTTTCTTGAGCTGTTGGTTAATTTGCCCCCTCCCATTTATCCTTTCTTGTGCTAGGAGAAAAGGAGATAGTCTGGTTGTTGGTCTCAGGGGTCTGCATCATTTCTTGTAGAAGACTTTCAACCTGTGGAAGGTGGTGGTGAAAAATCATATAGAGTGCAAGACCTACTTCTCCGTAGACAATATGTACTTAAAACTGAGTTCACCAGGGGTTTTTTAGCTCCAGCATTTGAAGGGGGGAAAAAAAATCCCACAATTTAAGTGTTTTATGAAGTAAACTTGGGTCCCCTCAGAACACTTAGACTGTCTTTAAATCATTCTTCCATTTCTTGAGAAGGAACCATTTAGACTAGGATTTACCCGTAGATTTCAGGACTTCTCCTACAGTTTTTTAATGAAGTGTGAAGATATATGTCCTTTCAGTTGAAAGGAAGAAGAAAATTAACATTTTGATCAGCTCTTCACAGTTCACTTGCTGTAGAATCAAGAAGGGAAAATGACTGAAGTTGATGTTGATTGTGTTGCTTGACAGAATGTAAAGCACTGATTCTCTATTCTGTGACAATACCTCAGTTTTCTGAAGATTTCAGGGTCTTCATGATCTAATAAAAGCTTAGGTTATATTAAAATTTTGGTGTTAGTAGACCTTGACAGGATGTAGATGATGAGACTGAAGAGCTTGGAATCAGGTTTAGAAAATGAGGTACTTCTAAACTATGAGTATGGGCAAGAAGTATAATAGGAGTCATGCTGCAAGTGAAAACTGGAGAACCAAATTTAAGGACAAGACAAGGGAGTGCTGTAATACCAGATGAGAGGTCAGAAACCAGAATTACTCCTTGAGGGTCTAGGATAAGGAGCAAAAATATCTGAAGGAAGTAGATTGGCTGATCATGAGGCAACAAGACACAGGCCTTTTATTAAATCCAGGCATCGATGGGATTGTTTGATAGTTGTCTTAGTAGGGCTAATTGGCCTGACCTTTCTGTTTCTTTTCCACAGCTACATTTTTTTGTTTTAAGAAAGCAGGATGTAGCCAGTTGCAGGTCTGAAAAGAGGGCAGTGTGTTTTGTCATGGCTAACTACTTCTACCAAAACAAAAGCTTTTTAAGCATCCAGTAGACTACTGAGATTAGGTTTACTCTAGTCAACAGCATCTCATATTTTTCAAAGCAGTCTTTATTGAGGAGTGTTTCTTATGCTATGATTTTTGTCCTAAAGTGACTTAAACTTTGAGATAAATAGAAATGGGGACTTAGCTTAAATCTAAATGGAAAAATTTTTAATTTCATACTTGCAGGTGACTATTCGAGCATCTGTTGGATCTCTTCAATCAGGATCGTCAGCTACATCTTCTGTTAGTACAAGCACTTCCACGTTTCAGTTATCACCTAAAGCTAAAAATACAACCACTAAAAATCATAACAAATCTAATACAAATAAGTCAAAAGCAAAGTCAAAACCAACTACATCGAAGAAGCAAAATGCATGGACCAACAGCAAAAAAAAAAAAGAAGTTACAAATACAGCATTGCATAATCTAAGGTAAAATATTAGCATTAGAAATATCTTTAAGGTATACTCTGAATATAAATAACTGATCACTTAATTACCTTTTCATAACTTCTAATACTGTAATACAGAAGATTTGACACTTCAGTTTTGCAGAAAAAACAGGCACATAGACTTTCCACAGGCTGGTACTGTGATTATAATTCTGAATTTTCATTCACCAATTTTGTTGGTGGTAGACTATTTTATGATGGAAGAACAGATGTTCTGGAAACTCTTCTGTTCTAAATTTAGAATTTTTCTCTGCACAGAGCCACAGACTCTTGAAATACTGACTCATTCAGCAGATTTATGTTTAAAAGAGACCTGTAGAGGGGAATACATCTGCCTGGGTGTTCTTTGCAAGTTTTCTTATGGAGGGAAAAGTATTTTCCTCCTTCAGTTTTTTAAGGATTTTATTTGAACCTGTTATTTAAAAGGTTAAATATTGTCTGTCTAGAGGATACCTTGATTTGGGGAGCTACTAAAAAAAAAATCAAGAAAGTAAAAGTAAGCTGTTGGAAGAATGCTGTCCTTATATTTACAATTTACTGGGTTTTGCTATTCTTATATTAATAATTTAATGGGTGTTTTGTGGACTAGAATATAATTTCATTGGCTAAGGTGAGTTAGCAGTTTTCTTTGTCAAAGACTGTAGATGTCTGTCTTCCAATAAGGTGCTAACACTCACAGTGTGTAGCTCTCTGAGACATCCAAAAACGGCCAGCAAAATCGGGGAAGAATAGGATTACATTCTTGCTTTGTACACATTTCAGAGCTTGTGGGGAATATCAGGGGTGACAGGAGAACCAAAGGCTTTTCCTGTGCATTGTGGTGGATGAAGCATTTCTTTGAAATCTTTCTCAAGTACATAAAGACAACAGCAGCAGCTGAAGTTGGAGGTTCTCATCTACTGTGGTATCTTGTTTCCAGGAGTGGCCAATAATAGATGGTTACATTAACTTTCACTTTTTTATTAAGGTCATAATGACAGTGTAATTCAAGAAAAAACAAAGTTTTTTCCATGTATGCTAACATAACCTATAATAAGTATTTAACTGATACATTTTTAAGTTCCTCCTTTTTTCCCTAATGTAGGCAAGCTTGCTACTGACTTAAAGCAAAAAGCTCAAAATAGTTATCTTGTCTTAAAGTGTTGATATTAACTATTAACTTTTTCGTATTACTGTTAGGTATCGTTTGGGAGCTCACAAATGCATTGAGTGTTACTCAGAAATAAAAGATTTTGCAAGCCATTTTCCTGCTTATGTCCACTGTAGCTTATGCAGATACAACACTAGCTGTAGCAAAGCCTATGTGAATCACATGATGAGGTAAGAACTCTTCAAAATTTTTATTGGGTTATCAAATACTTCCTAAATTCATATAAGGTGTGTTAAGTGTTTCTGTTAGCTGAATTTTGAACTGGGTCATAGGACTGGCAGGGAAATGTGTAAGGTTGGATTTTTACTTTGTAATGTGGACCTAACCCCGTGTTCTTGTTTTGCCTTAAAAATCCAGTGGTTCAGGCAGTATTCTTTCTTTGCTTCAGAGTTTCTATGGGATCTTCCATAATCATTTCAGCCAGACTTAACAAATAATGACTAATGTGTTCTCTGGGTTTCAGATTGAATACCTCATCTGATTTTACAAGTGCTGAATGCATACAGCCACAGCTATTGCTAATGAAATCTGTGCTCAGAATACCGTGTAAAGGATGTCTCAAATAGCATACTCAAGTGGATACTTTTTCTTACACTACTTCTCGTCATCTGTAAAAATAACATTTCATTTTGCAGGAGGTTTGCCACTGATTGTGAGGCAGTGTAGGGTATTAGTGATGATGGCTGTAAAAAAGCCTGTTAAGAAAACAAATGCATTAGTTTTCAGAGCAATAGAGTTATACTATGCAATAATTAGACACAAATCAGGTAGCAGTGACAGTAAAACAAAATTTTGAAAACCTACTTGTTAATCCTGTGCCCTGAACAAGCCAAATGTATTGTGGAAAAATACAGAACGCAGCTGTCTTTTTAAATACATGTATGTATAAAATGCCTTGGCATTTTTGAATGCTAGAATTCTTGAATTTGTGACCCAAGTCTTTAAAAGTTTTTGTATGTATTTTATATGTTAACCTATTCATATTAATTTCAATGCTCATGTAAGTCCTAGGCTGAAATAGTTTACATGCTTTTATATAACCTATTGGTTGCATGCTTAAAAAAACAATAAAAATTAATTCTGATTGTACAAGAGAAAGTTTACTCCAGAAGGGGAGAGGGGGATCTAAGGTAAACTGTTCCTACTGTTGCCCATGTTCTGGGCGTTGTCAAATTCAACCATGCAGTAAAATAGCCAGTCTTTTGTCCTTTGTCTCGTTGATGCACTAATGCTACCCCTGCTTCGACCCCTTGCAGTACCTATCATCATCTTTTCTGGCAAGTGTAAGGAACAAGGGATGGTGAGGAGGAAGGCTGTTAGAGAAGAGGGTGTTTCTGCAGTAGCAGCCCCTGTACTCAGCTGCTTGCTTTTTGTTTCATATGGGAGTACAGTGTTGGCACATACTTAACCTGCATATGAGAGGACTTAGATGTTGTCTGAAAATGTGATTTATCTCATTTAAAGCCATCTCTTTAGGAAACGTGAGTTCAGCAAAGCTTCACTTCTTTTGTGGAACACTATATAGCTACAGCCATGGTGCTTCAAGAGCTAAACTGCTGATGGAAGCAATGTAGCTATGTTCTTGCAGGACTGTGCTGACGAATTTAAGCCTTGCCCCTCCCAAACTCATTATTTACAAGAGAACCAGTGTTTTAAACTAGAGCTGAGATTCACAAGCCTGTGAGCTTTCAGCAATTTAATGTTTTAGAATAATGCAGGTCAGTAATTGAGCCTTCTATTTTCATGCCTTGTCATAAGCAAATTGCAGTACCATGTACAGTGTAGGGGATATGTGGAGTAATGTACTCAAGAAAACCAGTCTAAGTGGTAATGTTTTCTTGTATTTAGTTTTCACAGTGCTCGTCCAAGTAAAAGATTTTGGATCTATAAGAAGCATTCAGAAGAGCTACGGTAATTCAGCTTTTTTCTGTTCCAGATCATTATGTTTTTACTTTCTGATAGTGAACTTATTAGTTAAATGAGATTGGAGCCTCTTGAATTTCTAGGCTTCCACAATTTAGAAAGAGCAGGGAAATAAAAACATTAGCTCTTCCACTAGCAGTGTTCTGTTCAGTGACAAATATTTGTTAGTTGTCCACATTTATTTTATTATTTATTATTATTATCTTCTTTCTTAACCCTGAGCAGTTTTTAAAAATATTTCTATTTCTTTATTTTCCAATTATTCATAATGTGCAAAATGGGGGCGGGGAGGGAAACAAAAAAACCAAACAATGAAAACTGAGGAACTCATGCTTTATAGATAAATTCTGTCTAAAGTGGTGTTTTTTGTACTACATCCAGCATGGAGATGCCCTGGTCGTTGACTGGGATTTCCAGGTGCTAGTTGCAGTATAAAAAGTAAGAATATGTTTTTGTGAGTCATCTCATCTAAAGTTGCAGGAAATGTTTTTTCTTTAATAGTCTGTCCAGTTGCTGTAAGTTAAGAAAACTGTTTTCACAAGCATGTTGTATTTATACTTCCTTTTTACTTTCTCTTCTCTAGAGGTGTGACTGTAGTATGTCTTAACTGTGATTTCCTGACTGATGTTTCTGGCTTAGATAGCATGGCCACACATCTAAGTGAAAGCCATACTCATACGTGTCAAGTTATTATAGAGAAAGGTGAGTACATGTAGTGTCTTTTTTACATAGTATACATATATAAATACTTACATGTGGATGTGTCTGTGTTATCACAGTCCTTTTTTCAGTTGCATTGTCATTATTTCTGTGTACTTGGATTTGAAAGTGAGTACGTCTGTATTTCCACATTTTAAAATATTTTTAATTAAATCCTTTATTTTTATTTTCAGTTTCTGTAGATATCCCAACTGCTGAACAAGTATCTGAGTAAGTTTTGTTTTACTGCTCAATGTTTATTTCTATTAGTTTAGTGACAGATGGCCAAAATTTGCACTTTAAACTTGGGTTTCTTTTGAATTTCATAGAATTTGAAATGTATGGATGAACATAGACCCTTGCTTTACTAGTGCTTTTTGCTCTTGCCATGTCCACAATTACATGAATGGGGAGGTAAAATGATTATGTACTGCAGCCAGAATCAAAACCAGGTTTTTGTTCAGTTTGGCCAAAGAGATATAAATAATTCTTGCAGTATTAGAACTTCTCAATCCTGACTTCTAAGTCTAGACATAGTGAGACTGTTACTTCAACTTGCTTTTAATACTAGCTTTATTAAATGAGCGGTTTATGTTCTTTATGTAATATTAGTATGAATTTTTTAAAAAGTTACCTTTATTGAAGTAGGACAAATTCAGTCTTAATCTTTTATAAATCTTTACAAATTATTTTCAAAATTATGTTATTTATATGACAAAGGTACGCTGTTTTGTGTTAACTTTTTAATTCTGACTTTCAAAGAAAAATGAATATGAGGATTTTGGCTTTCAGTTTTTTTAAGGATTTGAAAAAGAACCTTCAGTATTGTGGAGATTGTGTTGCAGGGTTTGCTTGGAGGTTTTTTAGAAGAATCAGACCTGCCAAGCTGTTCCCGATTATCCTGGAACAATACCTGAGGCTTTACAATGTAGGTTGTGAGCCTACTAATGCCTTAATTGAAGGTTCAGAGGTGTGTCAGTTGAATCAAACATTTGAGTTCTCTGTAAACCATTCTGGAACACAGGAACAAAAATGTCAATTAGACTGCAAAGAAAGATATTTTAAAAGATGGAAGAAAATAGTTTAACCCTGATTTAACAACAAGGTGTCATTGAGTCCATCTAGCCTATAGCAGGATTCTAAAAGGGATTACATATTCTCATGCATGATGAGAACTCTTCCAACAGAGCGTGAAGTTCTTAGGCCTCTAAGCATACATCAGCCTTCACTGGGTGTTAGAAATATCCCCAATAGGTTATTCATAACTATTAAGTATTTTCTTTCTTAGTTTCTATAAAGTGGCCAGTAAGAGGGGATACCGGAATAATCTGTCATCTGATCCAAACATAGAAATACTTATCTTTGGCTATGAGTAATAGTAGCGCAAAATATGTGCTATAAACTTCAAACCTCTGCTAGTAGCTGTTTAGCATGTGATGCAGTTGAATAAAACTGGTGGTCTGATGGGATGACTAATAGATATTATTAAAAAGAATTGAAAATATTCTGGCAGGAATGAACAGGGGAGGGAAGTTAATTTGGGAAAGCATTTCAAAAAGCCATTTGAAAAATGAAATTTCTGATTTTGGAGCACAGAATATTGAAATTGGACAAAACACTGGAAAGAGTCATCTAGGAGGGTGAGCTATATTCCCTTAATTAATCCAGGGTAGCTTGCGTCCTTTAACAGTTCAGATTTCAGTAAAATTCCAACAATGGAAAAATAAAGTGTTGAGCTGTGATATAACCTTAGCTTTTCTCCTTGGAGCTGGGATTAGGTGTAAGGAAAGGTTATAGATGTATTGAACGGTGGGAAAAGAGGTACAGTTGTGGCAGGCTGTTGTTAGTACTGCACAAGGATCTTGCTGTCTTGAATATATTACAGAGGTGTCATATGAAAATATTTAAGAATGTTGAATATACAAAGTATGTATTACTCAGAAACAGATGGGCAAGTACTGAAAAGATTGGAAGTAGAGTCAAGAATATGTGCAGGTTTGTTTCTGCAAGCTGTTATATTAGGACAGATGCAGATAGCCATTATTTTTGAGAGCTCTGATGTTGGCATAAGATTAGTTACTGGTACTACATGAGGTGATACAATCTGTGATGGCGCTTTTTGAAACTGTCATGCTTAAGACTTCATTAATTTCAGTAAATCTTGTCCTATTCTGTATACTAATTCTCTTATACTTTGGACAAGAATTGCTAATCCTAAGAGCATGAATATACCTGTGTAGCAAATTTCTTAATTCGTTATTTGCAGTACAAAGTACACACAAAAATGTTCATCTTTTTGCGGGATGGTTCTTCATGGTACTCTGTCGTTTGCTTTGGAAGAAGAGGAACTTGCAGACAATATTCGTAACTTTTGCTGTGTAGTTTCTCAATGATCTATGAATGTTTCTTCCCATTCTTCGATCTATAATTCGGTGAGGTATGGCTTGTTTATGGGGCTCTTCAGAATCACTTCATCATCGGAAACAATGACTCATAGTTACAATCTTGAACGCTTTTGGATCTTCTCTTGCATCTCTCAGATGGTATCTTTTGCTATCTTTTATTATATATCAGACTGTCTGTATGCGTTGTAAAACTCATCTTTATTGCTAATGACCAGACATGTTCTGTGAGCTCTGTGTAGTGTTGATGAGACTGTCTTTGGACCAGAATCCTGCCATTAGTAATACAGCTAA